TGTGACCTAGACAAGAAAACTTGAAGTTAGAACCAGGAGGCACTACCATAGAATACTAAAAACAATAATACAATAATATAAAGTATTATTGAATGTACTCCAGATTTTTTGTAAGAACCACTGACTTTTCTTTCAGCCAAGTATAGCTACTTAGCTACCTTTTTAGTTTAAAAGCGTGCTTTTACTCTGACAAGTGGCTATATATGATGTGTACTTTTCAGCACATCAGATCTGCTGCTTATTTGTGTTCAAAGTCATATCAGTGTAGCAAACCAACAAAAATAAGCCTTTTTAATGCTTCCTTCTGTTGGTTCTGTAAGTGAAAATACCTAAGGAGCAATGACCTTGATTCTATTCATTCTTTTAAATCATCATCAAAACTGTTTACTTAATTTTACTTGTAAGAACAACCTATTTCTAGCAACCCAACTGAGGGCAGTGAATTGCAATTTACCCTATAAGCCTTTTTATAAAGTAGTGATCATCTGTGGATTTGTCTAACTTGAAATATTCCATTGTATTAGAATATTACCCTCAGAAGAATGTAAAGACAGAAACTTTATTTTTAATGCTGTGTTTGTTAGATGTGGTCACTTAACATAATATGTAACATGGCAATCCCTTACTCAGTGGTTAACATCATGGTAGTTTACCCTGAAGTCAGGGTGATATTTTAACTTAATTTCCCAGTAAGGACTAGGTCTACGTGAAAGACAGAATCCAGTCTGGCAGACCTCAGCCCAACCTGAGTTTAGCAGTTTTTCTGTGGTATCACAAAAACATTACAAACATGAAACTCCACAACACCATTTCTACAGTCACTTTTAGATTAAGCTTTAATTTAGTTTATTCAACCAAATTCACCCTTAGTGTAACTTCCAGGATCAGTGAAGTTGCACCAGGAACAAAAGACTGTTCTCCTGTTCTCCATTTTGTGCCACAGAGGTCCAGACCTTAGAAAATGAATTTTTTAGCTTGCTATACTGCATGTTTCTGCATTCATGTAGAATTAATCTTACTTTCATTGCATTTTTTACTTGGATATAAAACACAGTACAGAGATGGCCCCCTGTATACAGGTAAGCAAGCAACAGTTAATAACAAACCTTTTCATGAAACTGTTCTGGAGTATTTTTATCAAGTTGTTGTAATGACTAAAATCTTTTTTTTTTAACGACAGTTGCAGTTTTGCAAACTTGTGCAATTGTTTCCTACAATCTACTTGACATTTCTTTAATAAAGATGGTGTAAGGGTCTCCTCCTTGCTAAATTCGCTACTTTTGAACCTATAGCTCATTCTTTCCACCTTGACAGCCCATTCTCACTGATGTTAACATACACTGTCTGTTGCTAGTTCTCCTCAAATATCTCTTTCTGTGGATCTCTCTCCTTCCTCGGTCTTCTCCATTCCTCCCTTTTCAATCACTTCTGTTAATGCTATGTTAACGGTTGCTATGCTCCTCAAAGTTTACATGACAAGATAGAAGAAAGATTAAAGAAAAATGTAAACACATCCAAATGCTTTTGCTTTTCCTCAGCATCTCTAAAATTAATTCTTGTCTTTCTGTTCTCAGAATTCTGGTCCTCATTACACCTCAGCTTGCAACACTATCCTTTCTGGCCTTGAATACATACACATTTGTCCTCCTCCACATACACAAAATATATCTGTCAATATCATTCTGCATTTAAAATACGAGATATTTACACTAATTAGCATTCAGCTAAATGAAGACCAAAAAAAGGAGCCACATGCTTTTTACCTTGAAGCTCTCTGCCTCTTTTTGTAAACACTGAAACCAAGGTAAAACCTAGAGAACTGCTGATGATAAAGGTGCACATTAAGATTTGATTTGAAGTAGCTCCTGTGTTGTCTGTATTTGCATTTGGCATATACCTTATATTCTTTTCTCTTAATAGTCAAAGATATTTGTGATAAAAATACTAAGGAGAGAAAAAATTGCGACTTCAGTTTGCCCAATTTTTAATTAAAAAGATCCATAGTTTTAGAGACTGGGAATATTACAGTTGATAAAACAGGAGTTCCATACCTACAGGCTGGGGAACTCCCTTCTCGTCAGTG